TAGCGCCTAAAGGAACCTAACACTGTACAATTTGTAACGTATATAATCTGAAAACACAGGAGGCGCGGAAAGGAACTGTTTAATAAATTGTAGAAAATTAGTTTTTCCTAAATGCACTACACTTTAAATATAGTAACATATGGTAGCTACATTTAAAAACAAAAAATACATAATTTATGTGTTTTTTCCTAATATTTTTTTAAATATAAAAACATTGAATTTACTCTACCTTCATCAAAGTGGTGACATAACACATAAAGGTAGGAGGAGGAAAGGGAAAGAAGGAAGTTTGTTGTTTGCAAGGTCATTCACCTTCCTGGAATATATCGTGGCCCATTTCTGGTGCTTCTTGTGGTAGTTGTTCACCACTTGTAGATGTTCTGTGGGTGCCCCATTTCTGGTGCTTCTTGTAGTAGTTGTTCACCACTTGTAGTTGTTCTGTGGGTGCCCCATTTCTGGTGCTTCTTGTGGTAGTTGTTCACCACTTGTAGTTGTTCTGTGGGTGCCCCATTTCTGGTGCTTCTTGTGGTAGTTGTTCACCACTTGTAGATGTTCTGTGGGTGCCCCATTTCCGGTGCTTCTTGTGGTAGTTGTTCACCACTTGTAGATGTTCTGTGGCCAGTAGTAACAGTCCTGGTTCCAAAGTTCTTTGGTGTACTTACCTAGCAATAGGTGTTTCGTCCTTTTTAGGACAAAATGTTTTGTTATTTGAAGCCCCACCCTGGCTTTTGCCAGGAGCCGCAATATAGGCAGGCGATAAATATTGCCAAGTGTCTGAACGCGGTTTCTGGAACCTCTCCACGGTGATCTTCATCATCATGGTGGCACTTTGTGTCATCCGTTGTGTTTATCGCTTGTGTGATGTCCTAGTGGGGTAGAAAGTCAGTCAGTCAGTCAAGTTCTTTGGTGTCGGCGACCAACTTTAAAATGTTCGATAATTTTATCATTGAATAAGCTAGAAAAGTAAAGGACCCTTTTCCACGCCCACAGACGCATTGTATGTATAGGGTTAGAGCTATATTTTATAGATCAAGCGGCACTTGGTGGGTGATGTGGTCAGCATCACGCCGGCCGCCTTTACTTTCCAGGACTGTACCTGGTACCAACTCAAGGCTTGGTGAACCAGACAGCCAAATCATTTTTTCAAAAGATTCCGACCCCTGTCAGGACCCGAACCCACGACTTTCCGATCCGCAGGCGTTGAATAAGTTAACATAGAGCTCTATCAATATGCCACCCCTCAATAACTTCTTGCATTTTGAAAAATATAGTTCCAATAACTTGAATCGCATCAGTGCTAATCCTTCCGCCATCACCCTCTTCCTCCCCGGAAGAAATTTCTTCTGCTATTTCTTCCCTTCTGTAGCCAGTGAAGGTGTTGAAGCTCCTGTATGATCTGCTCAGTCAGCACGTGTCAGACGTTCGGTTTCCAAAACGTGTTCGAGTTCCGAAGTAGATTTTACTTTAAAATTTTGTTCGGATTCAGACTTTCGAATTTTGAGGTATTCGAAACCCGAGGTGCCACTGTACAATGGAGCCGAAGCTTCAAGCCGACATAAAAAACATCTGTAATAATACACGCCCTGTGTGTAAATAAAGATGGCCTCCGGGTCCTCCAGGTTCGGGAGTTGGGCTCAGTGTTGACAGCTCTGCCCTGTAAAAAAAAAAAATTACAACGTTACTGAAACGTCAAGAGGAAATAAGTGCTCTAAACGTACGGCGGTCTTGGGACAGAGTCCCTCTGTCAGCATGAACAATATGGGTGAAAGCCGAAAGGAAGCCCATGATGGGAAAACAAGTCTGCTGGATGTTATAACTAAAATAAGAATTGTCTTCTGGAATGTACGAACCATGTTTGAAAAAAAAAATTGAGACGAACGATGGAAAGTGACTTGAGTGTGGCATCTTTGACATGGGAAAACTGCATTGAAGATTGCACAGGACAGGAAAGAATGGAAAATCCTCTCTGAAGCCTCATGTGCCACTAGGCATAACGAGAACTGATGATGATGATGATGTGTGCAAACAAGCTTTTCGATAGCTACTTGTCCGAGTTTACACAGATATCAGCATTCTGGAACCATTTAGTTTCTTGCACATTTCAAGGATGCCACGGTCATAACAAGCCATAAAATCCGTCTGAAGAATCGACCTCTGACGTCCGCCATCTCACCATCTCCTGGTTATTATTTTTATAATCTATCTGCAGACGCACAAAGGCTGCCTGCAAGGATACAAACACAGCGGGACAGCTCACATCAGCTGCACCGCTGCAACAAAGACATCGCTCCATCCCAGAGAGAAGCTGGCATTAATTGTCAATATCATGAGCAAACATGGCAACGGTGTGAGAAGGCTTAATCACATTTCATCTCTTCATCTTCAGTTGTTGAATGTTGCATTAGAAAAAAAGTATCTTATGAAAGATCTTAACTCTCAACACATCAAAATTATAACTTCAGATCGTTTGACATCTGCCGTTGGTGGTGCAAATGTTGTAGCTGGTGATTTTATGGTGGATGAGNGAGGGAACTACAAACAGTGAAACATCATACGGTCTTATAGTAACCCCAGCCTTGCTGGTTAAATGAGAGGATTCTGGGTTTGCCCACATCTATTCCCTACTGTTATTAAATTTGAATATTTAAATGTTATTAAAGTATATACTAGCTTTTGTTCACTGACACAATTACAGTTAAAATGAAACTTCAGAAAACTGTAAGAAACATTAAAACTACATTTATTTTGAAAATTCAAATGATAATTAAATAAAAGGCTGTGGATAAAATTATCCTGTTATATAAGGTAAGTGGTCAACTGTCCACTTAGCTGTAGCTTAGGTTTATGTTGTCAGCTTCTGACTAAGCTTCGGAAACACATCAGGCAGGCCGAATCTTCCAGTCCAGTCCGGACAATCGGGTATCTGCAGCTAAGCTTAGAATCTACTTCTGGACTACCATCTGGAATACAATCCCTGGCAGGGAATTCAAACAGAAAATTCGGACCACAGGCAGACTAACAACTTTAGGTCTGAACCGGTCAATTTCTGAATTGAAAAGGGCACAGGAAGTCTTTAAAAAGGAGGAAGTTACTCTTCAGTTCCCCTTGACTAATCATCTCATTCGCCTTTATTACCTTTCAACTCTTTAATTATAATTTTGCTACAATGAAGCATTAGGAAAGGGGTAAGAAATTTCTTAACTAGTCCAGTGTTATTATGCTAATTAAAAGCAATAGGAAAATGTTTAGAACTTTAGTAATAATATTATCTAAACAAAGCACTTTTTAAGAGGACAGAAACAGCTGTCCAGACCAGCTCGTCACAGAGAAGGAGAAGAAGAAGACGACTAAAGAAGACGAAGGAAAGAACGCAATACATAACACTTTTAATTTACCCACAACCAGAATAACTCAAATACTAACGTAATGAAATTTTTAAAAAAGCCAATATTTAGTATTTCTTCATTCCACTGCTGACTATATATTATGTGAGCTCAAACGGCCTGTAGATTGAACCACTCGAGCAGCCTCCGGCAACAGACAAACCGGCATTCAACAATTTTTGTTCCGAAAAAAATTTTATATATATATATATGTCAAAACGTACGGGAAAGATATAAGGAAACATACACCTTTTGGCTCTTATCTGATAAACAATTGATAGCGATATCAGCGCCGTTTCTTTTCATAAAAGCTGCTTTATCCTCAAGTGATATCCTGGGAAATGTTATGAATAGTGCTTGTGTCTGAGATGAGACAGAGGGGGTAGGGAGAGGTACCGGCAGAATCAACGTTATATTCCTTTATGTGTAAGATCTTGCAGCGATAAAAAAACGAAGAACCGTTGCTGGAATAATCTCATTCAAATCACTTGGATCTCTGCGGGAAGTATCATATTCTTGAAAGGACTTTGTTTTATAGTTTTGTGGGCTTGCCCATATGCAGATAAGAAAGGCGGCAACGAAACGTGCAGATTGGCCAGATTTTTGCCTCACGCTAAGCTTAATGAACTCTTCTATCTATGTATCTCATTTGCTCACCTGCCTGGACTCTATATGTTGCAGGTGCCTTTTGAGAATTTGTGGAAGACAGCATAAGGATCCACAGCAAAGGAGGCCGGCTGTGTGGTTGTAAAGCTGGATTGTTATGCGGGAGAACTAGGTTAGGGGGCAAACGAACTACTAACCAGCGAAGGCTGAGGAAAGTCCTAAAAACTGTTGCCGTCTCCGCAATGAAAGTTGCCTACAGTGTACTTGTCGCTGTCGACTGTCAAATTTTTTGGTGAGGCCCAAATTACATGATGCGACTCTCGTACCGTAGTCAAGAAAACCATGAAAATCGATATATATATATATATATATATATATATATATATATATATATATATATATATATATATATATATATATATATATATATATATAATATATATATATATAAACTGTCTCGAAAATTCAACCCTGTTACTCGAGGATTATGAAACTTAAATGCATTTACTAACCTCTAAGCTACAAAACGCACTCATCCTACAACATCCTTAAAGGCGTACGTCTTCATCTTTTACCGTTTCTAGTATCAACAACATCAAAAAGCGCCTACCGCTCTTTTTAAGGCGAACGCCAAAAATGAGAACTGACCACACAGAAACAACTACAAATTTAGAAAGAATATTATTAATTAAATCCAGTTTTATATATCTAATATAAAAATACATGTTGTAGCTAATGCAACATTTGTTGCTGTGTAGAGTTTAGAATATCTGATATACGTGACTGGGAGAAAGTGGGAGAGGGGGGGGGGGTGTTTCTGGCAAACGAAGCGGTGCAGTAATATCTATTTGATTTCCCTGGTTTTCACTGTAGCTGCCATATGATTAAAAGGACATTGTTGAAGGCCCACCATGCGCCCATCATCGAATGATTTACTAATTGATATTTCATTAATTATTATTATTGTGTGCACTATCTACTATAACGTATGTACGTGCATGTGTGTTGCAGGAAGCAAAAGACGAGAAAGGGCTGTTGAGTAACCCTCGTCGCAACAGGGGATGTACCGACATCATGGTCTTTCTGATATTCGTCTTCTTCCTCTGTGGAATGGTAAGTACCAATAGCAAATGTGTAGTCACTGTATGTTGTGCCCTGCATCGTTATGTAAGTAAGTGAGTGACCTCTGCCCTACTTTTGACGCATCTGAAATACAGTACTAGACATATTTTTATATGGGAGCCGCCAAGGTGCAACGGCTGGATGCTCACCTACGGATCCGAAGGTGGCAGGTTCAAATCTGAACTGAGCTGAACTTTTTTTTAAATGACATCGGCTTTCAGCTCGACCCACCCTTAAATGGGTACCAGGTTGTCCTGGGAAGTAAAGGCGGCCAGTGTGATGTTGACGATGTCCCCATCGAGTGCCGATTGATCTATACAATATAAATCTAGCACAAAATGTCCAATACGCTTGAAGGCGTGGAAAGGACCCTTTTCTTGTATAGACCGTTCAACACATGATGTGTGATGTGGTCAGCATCATGCCGACCGCCTTTACTTCCCAGAACATTATCTGGTACATATTTTAAGCTGGGTGGACCTGGAAAAGTGAGTCAATTCTGAGGAAAGAAATCTGTCTCAATGTGGACTTGAATCCCAAACCTTCCGTTTGGAAGGCGAGCTACCCTACTGCATCACGGTATGGAGGAATGTCTGTGCCAGAACTGACCTGAAGGTGCACCACACAGGGGGGGGGGGGTTGTTGCTGGTGGTGGTGGTGGGTGTATTGGTTGTGTTATCACAATCAACGTCACTGCACACTGGGCGTTCCCATGCGTACTCAGTCCTTCGGTGCAGCAGCCACTCCTCTGTACCGCAACCCATTGTTCCCATGAGGAGCTAGTTATAATGTCTCTTATGTCGGCTACGAAGGCGGTATAGACGTGCTTCACAATGCTTTACTCCCATGTTACGCAATCTTGTTGGCGTTGCTAATGTGTTACTTTTGGCGTGTCAGTTTCTGACTGGGGTTTTCTTCCCCTTTCATGTCCAAGGCACAACACTTAATCTTTGTTAAATATTTTTCTGTGTTTTAACTTGTGAATTTTTTCTATTGTAGTCTTATTTCGCTATGTATTTCTTCTTTTTTTCAAATGCAGTGTTAGTGTTTATATTTGCTTTCAAATATCTTGTGCATGTTTCAAGTTTATTACTCTCTTTTCTGTATATGTGTACTTGCATCGCCACCAGAATATTATATATATATATATATATATATATATATATATATATATATATATATATATATATATATGCGAATTAGTTAGTCGACAGATTATCGTCATTTCATATCGGGCAAGTCCATAATTGCTCGTAACCCATCTTCAGTATCTCCCCCAGCGTGAGGCGACTGGTAACACCAATTTTGTGTTGGTTTACTTTTTTAGTTACCTGTATTGTGTTTATGTCCGGCAATACCCTTTTGAACTAAAGTTCTTGTCGACTGTTTAATGTTGTAGACTCTGTATCGTCTCCTGAATCATTGACTCATTTTACCTTTATGAGAGTTCATTTATTGTCCTGTACCTATCGCGGCCCTACCAGCAAGCCAATCGGCTCGTTTATTTTCTCTTTAATTTCTACCAGATACGATTTCCACAGTGACTCCAACCATTGTTTTCGAATCCATCCTGCCTCGATCTTCTTAAGCATGCTCAAAGGAATCATTTGGAAGCACGCATGGGGAAATGCTGCGTCTCCAGCCATCTCATTACTTCTCTAACCGCCAGTTACCTCCATGGTCAGACTACTTGTAGTCGGGGCAAAAGTAATGCGCCCTTTTTTGTATGTTTTCACTCGAACCAGAATTGTGAAAATCTATTAACTTTGTGAGCAGCTAGACGCTCGCCGCGGATCGGAAGGTCGTGGGTTCGCTCCCTGGCGGAGCCGGACTTTTTTCAAAAATGACCTTGGCTCCCAGGTCGACCCAGCCTTGAGTGGTACCGGATACAGTCCCGGGAAGTAAAGGCGGCCGGCGTGATGCTGACCACATCACCCATCTTGTGCCGATTGGTCTATAAAAAAATATAGGTCTAGCCCTATATGCCCTATACGCCTAAAGGCGTGGAAGAGAGTCCTTTACTTACTTTACTTACTTATGAACTTTGTGCGTGTCGAACTACGGAGCCATCGATGTAAATAACAGCACGGCCATCAGCAGAATTCTCAAAAAATGTTGCCAGTGTTAGTGTTATTGCCTGCAAGTAATATCCTGTCATATGCTTCCTGTCCCGCCTCTCAAACATCTGTTTAAGTGGTTACCTGTTTCATTTCTGTGAAATAGATATTCAAGTGCACATATATTTCCAACACTTAAAAAAAGTTTCTGTTCTTGCAATTTGATACATGTTACAAAGCTCCCTGGCTCAGAAAACTAGTTGGTATATGTCTACATGTGTATGGGTGTGTATGTGTCTGGGTATATTACATATGCATGGACATACTGACGTTTCACTGTGTACACTTCTGTATGTGTGTGGACATATTGATGGTTCACTCTGTATACGTCTCTATGTATCTGGATATATTTACAGTTGAAAGTGTACATTTGCTTGTGTGTAGACTTATTATTGCATGTATGTGGACATATTTACTGTGTTATTATTCACTACATGTCTGTGGACGTATTCACTCTGTGTCTGTGTGCTGATATATTCGCAATTGATTCGTTATGCCTCTACTTCTGTGTGGAAATATCCATTGCATATTTATGGGCATATTCACTGCATGTGTGCGCGGAAATAGTCCCAGATGGCTCTGCACACCTCTGTGTGTATATGACAGCACATATGACTCTTCAGCCCCCATTCTACAAACCTCTACGTAAATGTGATAGCATATACATCCTGTACATCACTCACTCTACATACCTCTAGTTATAGGTGTCAGCCCATACCACCTCTTCAGCCCCTACTCTACATACCTTTACATGTATGTGACAGCACACATACCACCTCTCCAGCCCCTACTCTACATACCTCTACATGTATGTGACAGCACACATACCACCTCTCCAGCCCCTACTCTACATACCTCTACATGTATGTGACAGCACACATACCACCTCTCCAGCCCCAAGATTCAGTGTCTTCTGCCCGTGAGCCGTGCCTTGAAATTATATCGATCTGTTTTTCAGGTTCTGCAACGTAGCGCGGATTAGAATCCTACTCCCTCGCTACTTCAGCGGTCCTTCGCTTTCTGTCCTAGCCGGCAAGACGAATGTATTCTTCTGCTCCTCAGCCATTACTAACCGCCTCAAACTGTCCTTGCGCAGGTCTGTTAAACAAGCTCTATGGTCAATTTTTTTTTTTCCCTCTGTAAGGCTGAACTTTTAATTTTTCATATATTTGAGTTTCTTTTATCTTGTCTCCAAAAGCGCATGTGTTACTGCCTTCGAGTATGAAATTTGTTGCAAGAAAAGAGTGAGTAGGGAGAGGCGAGGAGAGCTCACGGATAAACCCGTGGGAGGTTTGGAGAACGACAGCCAGTGGGAATCTTTCTGTGGAATTTGACGTTACATTTTAGAATCGTGCTGGTTGTGTTCCGCATTGTCCTACACGACAGCCATATTTTATGTAAAGGTAAAGTCGACTGGATTGACTTCCTTGCATTGTATTTTGTTCCATCTGGTTCGATTTCTCTCTGCAAAAAGACTAGCCGTAAGCATCGCACAAAGAAAAACGAAATTTGGGAATCTCCAGATAAAGTCCGTGAAACGAACCCACGATCATTAGGGTGCGAGGCAAACTGCTTGACCTTTTTTGTTACGGAGACCTCATCTATATCCTATCATGAAAATAAAAGTTCCTGCTGATTTGTCAAGCATGTTGAAAACACAGTAGAACAACGTTTTGCTGTCATTAAAAAATAATGCAGATATAACAAAAATCATGTGACATAAATGTTTTGAAGTCTTTGAACGTGACGATATAATTCCGTCAAAAACTACAGTAAAACATGCTCTTTTTCACATTCTATGCCTTGTGGCGTTCGTAATCATGAATGTCCAGAGTAATTTGTTTCGTATACTGTCTAATTTTCTTGATGCAGTTCTTCTGGCATTTCATGATGCCAGACGGTCTAGCACCTCTCCTGGTCCCCACCACTCGCTTCTATTCTCCTCGAGCATCGCTTTTCTCATGACATATCCCAGGTGTTCTGTTGTCACGTCGTGACATAAGTTAAGTTATACATGGGGAAATAAGGGTTGGGGGGGGGTATAAATCGTATAGTCCTTGGGTAGTTGCATTTCTTTGCACAGTCAGTTCTTTATGACCATCATCATGTTGAGCAGTTTATACCCTGCATAAGGCTAGCACTCGATTCCACCTGTCGATATCTTGTTTCGAATCAGGTCCTGCATATCTTGCCTCTGTCATTCGCGTTCATTGCATGCTTGTTCTTGGGCGTCTTCGCTCCAGCAGTCTGTTTCCCACTTAGGATGGAATCGATTATTCACGTAGATATACAAAATAACCCTTTCATCTATGCCTGTGTGAAAACCAGATGTGCTAACTTCATAAAAACATCGACGTAAAAAGAACAAATGGTCAGTTTCGTCAACAGTAGTAGCAACTAAGTAAACGTCCTAGTAGTATAGTTAACAATGTGGTTACTGAGTGCTGCCCTTTATGCAACTGTAAGAGAAAAGCGTAAAAAGAAATGTAGCCACGAAGAGAGAGGGTACAGCCACAAGCTTCACATATTTAGGATAAAAATATATGGGGGGCACACTAGCTGACATTGTAGAATTACACTTGGTTACCTTTGTTGTAAATTACAGTAATCAATGCACCCCTGTACTCACACTAAACGACCTTGTATCAATGATAGATGAACAGAGAAAGGGGTCATATGTCACTACTGTTATCTTGAAAACAGAAGGTGGTTATATTGATTATGGAGCAACACGTATTGTTTATAATGTGTTGTTGTTTTTGAAGATGTATATGTGATATTATAAAAGTAGGAAACTCGTGTTTTATTTACATGACATCAGCTGGCTAAAAAATAAACATACATCACTTCTTGTTGGGGCGTACCGGAAAATAA